AGCAACAATATTACAAATTATTAACTTTATCCGTAATTACTAACTCATACAAAACGGTAATCAATAGATTTTATTCAATTTGCTCACCCAATCTCGGTCGTGGATCGAATCAGACATCTGGTCGTCTTGAGTGTGCAAATGCCTAATTCACGTACAAATCCCTGAGCCTCCTCCTCCATTGATGGTGTCAACTCGGTTATGACTTCAAGCTGACATATTGACATTTGAACTAGTTAACGATCATGCAATCAGATGTTAAATCACGCACAATATAAATTACAAATGCATAATACTCACTTGAGGGTCGTCGAGGATAGTCGATAACTGTTTCTCAGTGGGACATCTCTCCGATCGAGATGCTCTCATATAGTGCATCCGAGGGCAGCGTGTCTCCCCTCGACTCGCAAAGCGGGCACCCAATATGGAAACGGTCTCATACGCCCAGATCTGCAACACATATAATTATTATATATAAATTCAATATGAAAATAATTTTAACATTCATTATGTTAACCATTTATCTGCACCGTCAGGGGCAATCTATAGGTGTCGTACTTACGCATGGCTCCCTTCGGCTTCGAGTGCGATCTGGTGAAGATGTGTACGGTGTCCTCAAAACATCTTCGGCCCCACGGATAGTTGTTGAAACGATCGATGTCGTCAATGATCTCTAGATGGAAGAGGTCGATCGCAGTCTTCTTATGGTGACACCACACCACTCTCTCAAGGATGTAGACCAGACCTAATTTCAGTCTGTCTAACATCCGATCACACCTCCTGATTATGTCCAATAGCTGTATAAGAAGCACAGTTCCCTGTCCCTCGAAGTAAGCGTCATGAAGCCTATTTCTTCTCTAAGTCCCATCGCCAGCTGCTTCATTGCCTGTAATCTTTAATCCCGTGACCAAAGCAAACTGGCGACTTTACCCCCGACTGCGAAGTGGAGGACATTGCTGTAGACTGGACTCAGCAATTGACATAGAAGTGCATCAATAATCTGACCTAAGTACTGTAGATTTCTCAACGGGTACAAGGGCCACAGGAAGGACTAGCGCAGCATATCAGCATGCTGATCATTGAGCAGCTTTAACACAGCAATGAAATTGTCAAAGCTACTATTCCATGTAGCTTTGTCTAGCATCTGTCTCAACTCTGCGTTAAGATGATAATCCATCCTATAAACACTCAAAATGTTATAACATTGTACAAGTGATAATAGAATAAAGCATAATAACAGAAAATTTAGTGAACTAAATTGTAACTACAATACGCAAGAGACATATTCATAATAATTAAAATCATTAATAATGTGAATTTTTTTTATCATATTATCAATAATGTCAATTTTTTCCCATTAGCAATATATTTTTAATCAATTCAAGTTCAAAAAAATTTAAATTCGATGAACGAAAATAATATTATTTATCAAAAACTAATAATAAAAATAAAAATAAATATTAAATTTCAAATTAAATTTTCAACAATTATTTCAAATTACAATTAAAAATACTAATTAAATTTGATGAACGAAAAGAATATCATCCAAAAATATTAATAAAATTAAAAATTAAAAGTAAATAATTTTTTTAAATTCAGCGACTAAATAAATTATTATTTATCAAAAACTAATAATAAAAATAAAAATAAATATTAAATTTCAAATTAAATTTTCAACAATTATTTCAAATTACAATTAAAAATACTAATTAAATTTGATGAACGAAAAGAATATCATCCAAAAATATTAATAAAATTAAAAATTAAAAGTAAATAATTTTTTTAAATTCAGCGACTAAATAAATTATTATTTATCAAAAACTAATAATAAAAATGAATATAAAATTTAAGTTCACAATTAAAATAATTATTTCAATTCGATGAACGAAAAAATTATTATTTATAAAAAATGAGGAAATAAAAATAAATATTAAAACAAAAATTAAATGTAAAAATTTTATTAAAATTTAGTCGTAAAAATTTTATTTAAATTTGACGACTAAATAATTTATTATTTACTAAAAACTAATAATAAAAATTATTTAAAATTAAACTATTAAGTTATATGTAAAAAAAATTGGGCTGAAAAATTAAAAAAAGAAAAGAAAGAAGAGGAGTGGGCCTACAGTCGGGCTGAAAGTCGGCCCACTAAGTTGGGCCGGCTTAATAGTCGGTATGGGCCGACCGATAATAGTCGGTCATACCGACTGTTGTGCTCGACTGTTAACAGTCGTGTTTTAGCGAAAAAAGCCGGCTGCAATACCGACTGTTAAGCCCGAATTTTAACAATCGGGTTTTAGCGAAAAAAGTGCAGTCGACATTCCTACCCCTTTCTCGCCAAAAAATCACTATTTTCCACGAGAAAAGCTTCCAAATTTAAAAAATCAACCATTAAAGCACTATATAAACCATATTTTATTTATATAAACAACAATATATTGAAAAAATCTCCCACAAAAGAATCATTTACACCTTTTACCAAAATCTAAACATTAATCCAACCAAATACTCAATATAATAACAGTTACCTTAACAAGAAGTAGTTCGCTGACGATGGACTAACAAGTTCTCCGACCGACTGGAAATCGACCCTTTTTTTTTTTAGTTTTGTGCAACTGTTGAGCAAATGGAAAGATGATAGCCGAGGGGTATTTTGGGATTTTAAGCTTTAAACTCAATTTTTGTTTTTTTTTTTAATTAAAAAGGCGATCAAAGATCACTTTGGAAATAGGGATGGGTTATCCGGTCATTTCCAACAATTTCCACGTGGATGGAGATGGAGTTTGTGTATATAAATTAATTTATAATGTTTGAATTAATATCTGATTTTTGTATAAACAAATTTTAGGTATGATTATTGAAGTTTAATTTTAAAAAATTTGATTGGATGTAATTTCCTCGAGAATAAAATTAGTTCAATATTTGGACCAACTCCAAGAATGGGCATCTTAATAATGGGGGCTCACCCATTAGTATGGGTAACATAATGGACCCATGATAGGCAGGCCCAACACAAGTCTACAAGAGGCTCCCAACAATAACAAGCTCAATAACTCAAAAGCCCAAATCTAACCCCACACGGACAGGATTTATGGTCCAATTACTCTACTTTATCGAAGAAGTCTAAGAACATCTCCAATAGATTATTTCAATATAAAATTCTCTTTATTTTAAAGACTAATACTTAAAATAAACTCCAAAAAACAGTCTATTTTAACTTTTTAAAATAGAGAGTAAGTTTTGCTCTTCAAATTTAAAAAGTCAAATCCAGTCTCTAATTTTAATGTATAATTTATATTTAATAAGTCACAAATTTCAATATTTTACTTCTTAAACTATTCAAATCACATTTAAATTGATTGACCATTGATATATAAAAAGAATGTTAAATAAAATATGAGGAGAAACCAATTAATATTTCTTGAGAAAAGTAAAATGAAGAGTCATAGTAGAGAGTATTGTTAAAGTACATAAGATGTTCTTTTTAAATAAGGAGTCTCTTAGAGATTCTTGAAACTATTAATTAAAAAGGACTTGTTTATTTTAATATTTAATGCCAGGGTTTCTATCATTGTTAATTATTTATTGTTTCACATCTAGTGTGAGTTCTACTAAAATAGATAGATTTTCTAGATTTTTTCTTGTTTTAAAAGTCTAGTTAGGAATTTTGTTTAAATGTGGATTATTTAATTTTATTGTAACTTGGTTGATTTTGAATGTTGAATATAAACTTGAAGATCATTTTTCAAATATACACCTAAATAGTTAATTCGTTTGAATTTGTTTCTTTTTCTTTTATAATCCAATATTTGTTCTCGTTTATGTTTCTCCTTACATTAGGTAGTATTGGAGAGATGTCCAAGCTCCTGATGATGGATCCAGGAGGACATTTTAGAGGTTGTTTTGATATGTAGAATAGAAAAATGGAGATTTTTCTTCAATTGTGTACTCAACTGTTAATTCATGGTCAATTTACGTTATAATTATGTATTCGTTATTGTATATGCTTTCGCCTGCACCATTTTGTATCAGAGCACGATCTACGTTCCAAACAATGGATCAATGATGATATGTTAGAGGGTGTGGGATCATGTTTCATAATGGGGACAACATATATGAGCTAATACAAATCCACCAACAGCTTGAGGCTTTGGCACAATAAGTTGCCAGATGTCACCCATCAACAACAAATGGAGGCTGACCTTTATGGCCATGGACAAGAGGCATGATGTAGTAGCCATGGCGTGAACGTTGTGGCTAGGCGGGGCTACTGCTAATGAGGTTAGTCGATGGCCTAATTGCATGGATACAGTTATGGAAGGCGAACCCAATTAGAGCAGGTTCTAATAGCTGAGGGTAGTCGCATGGCTCCTTGGTTGGTGGTTTTAATAAGGGATGTACTTGTTTTCGAGATTTAACTCTCTTAACATATTTTAATAAGGGTTGGTGAACAAAATGTTCATCTCTGCAAAATTATTAAGGGAGATTGAGCCATTGATGATCAAGCTGTTCATCATAATGGTTGGTTACTAATTTACTATTGAAATCGAGTATATAAGTGCAAGTTTCTCGAAATTAATGTAAATGCTAAGTTAGTTCAAAATAGAGCAAATTTGATCATACAAAGCCTACATCAACTAAAGTTACCCGTCAACCATTAACTACCAAACAGAAATTGTCGAGCTTGCAAATAAAGGTTATTGCTTGTGCTTATGCATTTGGTGTAGCATCAAGAAGTTTAATGAATGATGGAACATCTTGTAAAAGTAACACATAGAAGGGTTCAACTATTTTTGTTAGTACTGAATCAAATGAACTGCAAAATTGATAGGTCAACAATTGGATTATTATCTTCTTCTATTTGCATTTCTGTTGAAGCCGAAAATGTTATCTTCCATCTATTTTCCTATTTAAAAATTCCTCACCTTTTGAAAATCCTTATCCTTATCCTTACAATATATAAAAGAGAAAGTTTGTTCCTATTCATAAGGCATCATCCTGTGTCATGCTTATGTCATTTGATTTTTTTGCCCTTTCCCCCTCCAAGCATGGAAACTTTTTCTCCACACAGTTATTCACCATTTCTACAGACAATCTCCCATTCCTTTTTATGCTTTGTTTGATTTTCATTTTTTCCAACTACTTTTTTTTCTGTCCTCTTCACAATCACGCATTGTTCATTCAAATAATATTACACTTATTCCTACCACACATTTTTCATAAAAATGGGCTCAAACACTCCCTTACTTGTTCCATTCTCGATTTTGCCTCTCAATTATACATCATACACATACCTCTTTTACACTCCGTTTCTCCATTCCTCCCACCTCCAGTTATACATCACAAGCTTCTTTTGCTCTCTTCATTAGCAAATTTGGGAATGGAATTTAGAGGAGGAAAAAGGAGAGATAGAGGTAAGGTTTTATTTTCTTTTGATGTTGGGATCTCATTTATTGGTTCTTTTCGAAGGGAAAGGAAGATCTTTGTAAGCATTTCGAATCTTTCTACACAAGTCGTTGGAGCTGTTAATCTTTCTTTGAGTCTTCTTTTGGTTCAACAGAACATTATTTTGCAAGTTTTGAGCAAATGAAAGATTTTTTAAAGAGAAAAACAGAGCTGGAATTTTTTTTAATGTACTTTACTAGTTTTTTGAGTTTTGAATTTTGAAGGTTCAATAGTATAAAATGAAGATTATATTTTTGATTGTTGACTAAATTAATATTTTTTTATTTATTTTTGGGAGTACTGAAATTTAGAAAGAATTTTTTGCTGGAATGTTTTGATATGGAAAGCAGAAAAGAAGGAAGTTTTGTATTGTCTTGGAATTGAAAAAACTAAGAATTCTTGAGGCAATTATGTGGTCCTTTTGACTATAGAATTAGCCATGCTATTATGTATGATGTTGTTAGGGAACTCGAACATAGCGATTTGTAAAAACTATTTTTGGGTTTGTAGAATATTTATTACTACAGTGTGCAAAAGGATTTGTGCTTTGTATACAATTGGTTGAATTTAAAAGTTTCCTTACTGTTCATTTTCTAGATTTGTGATAGATGTTTACCTGCAGAGCAATTTGTTTGTGGGTTTGGTGTTTTTGTTAATAATTCAGTTTTGAATTGGGTTTTTCAATTTGTGGTTTTGAGTTTGTGGAATTGATTGAAATTGTGGTTTTACAGAATTGCTGTGGAAAATGGGAGTACGCCTCTGCAATAATTGGGATTGGATAGAGAGAAAAGCTCTCTTGCATTTGATGAAAGCAAAAATAGAAATTTCCTGCTAAAACGTTTGAGGAGAAGTTGAGTTTGGCTCTATCATTTCATTTAATTTGAAATTTTGAGATTTAGAATCGAGTTTTCTATTAAGTAAAAGTAATAGGATAAGTATTTAGTTTATATTGATTATCTTTAATGTTTCAATATAGGGGTTGAAGATGAATATGATCATGACAAACTATTCAATGCCATGGACGACGGGATATGAACTACGCAAAAAGATCAATGTTAGTGATTTTGGTATTGCTAATTGAAAAAGAAGGGTTTTAGATTTTCCCGTAATGCTTATCATGATTTTTAGCTATGCTTGATTGATATTGTTAAAAATGGGTGAAGTGTGAGGAATTGCTTCACTTTGCAGTAGGAGCCATGACAGGGTTAAAAGTCAATGCTAATATTTGGAGGTATTTATAAATATCCAAATTTCTTCCACATTTTCTACATCGTGTACCCTTCAGCTATGTGACAGATTTGTATGACTTTAATTTAGGGACGTTATCATGTTGTGGATCCATAAGTTAATTGAAATATTTGTTGTATTATGAGAGAATTATTCATTTTCCCCTCATGAAGAATTCGCCTAAGGTTTAACATAATGAGGTCATTCCAAGTACAACCTTGCCATTTTTCTCGGAGTTATGTTGCAATTTGTGACATTGATACATTGATACAATTAACTTTTTGATATCCAAGATGACTTTCTCCGATGAACGCTGATATCCACAAATGATGAATGTATTATATTTTCTCATGAGCTTTCGGAAGGCATTTTTTGACATCAAACTTACACAAATAAAACATCATTTTACTTCATGTAACTAAAAGGTTATTATGTTATTAGAATTCTTTTTAAGTAGATCATATATTTTTACGAGTTTTGTAAATGGTATGAAATGGAATCAATATATATTGCTTGCTCATGGAATTAATGATTCTTGTTATTAGATAAATGTCTATTCTGTTTGTTGAGAAATATTACTTCTTCATTTTCTCTATAACGTATTTGACTAACTAATGCAAGGATGTGATCTAAATATAAAAGCATCACCCTCATTAATACCAATTGATAGGTCCATAAGTTTTGTACTTGTCAGGGAACAAAAATGGTAATTAATGCTTTCCCAATTCAAGTTTCTTACCTTCTACATTGGTTTTTACCATCGTTATTCATAATATAAATGATGAGCTGATTCTAGATAGTGGCATGAGGGGTTTGGTGAACGATTATAATCCGAATTCTTATTGCAGCAGGTGGCGTTGGACTTCATGGTCCGTACGGCTTCTGATGGATTTGCCATAATGAGGAAGTTAATTTTCTTCATTGGTAGCTGGTTATCGAATCTATTATGGTGGGGCAAGAATGCCTACAGTATGACCAAACAAACTCCGACTTGCTGACATTTTTTCATCTTTTATTTTTTCACTGCCTGTCACTCTACCTTCTCTATTGACTTAAAAAAATAATTTTATTGTTATGGGAAGTGTTTTTGAATAATCTTTTACTTGCTATAAGTTTTGTTATTGTATGTGCAAACCTTAATCTCAATGCTACATTTGAGGTGAACTCTGTTTTCTTTTTCTATTATTTGTTTATTTATTTCATGTCCCACCTTTGTTTTGTTCCCCATGTTATGTCTGTGTCTGAATTTGGTTTCATCTATGGCATTTTTAGTTTGCTTGATTAAATTTGTTTATTATATGTGCTTAGGGTTGTAAAACGACTGAGCTAGTTGAACTCTACTTGAACTTGGCTCATCCATGGCTTGTTCAAGCTTATCTAATTAGATAAAGAAGTTAAGCTAATAGAGGATTGATAAATGAAGTAACAAGCGAATAGCTAAGTGAATCAAACTACAATCATTTTAACCCTGTTAAATAACTTGCTTGAGATTGGCTTAGAGATAAAAACAAGTCAGTCTTATGCTATACTAAAGGCTCAGTGGGGCAACAGGTTTCCCGACGGCGGCGCGTGGACCACACGCGTGGCCGGAGCAGCGTGTGTGGGAGGCAGGACACCGGCAGGGGTCGCCGGTCCCTGCTGAGGCCGCCGGTGAGGCGCGTCTCCTCGAAATCTGGCCGGATCTGGCGGAAAACGGCTGGGCGGCGCTAAGGTTTCTACAGTAAACTGCGCCTGTGTGTGAATGGCGTGGTTGGAGGGGCTGATTTGTGGCGTGAGGCTGGTTGTGTGGTGCCTACCGAACCGTTGGTCGCCGGCGCTGGTAGTGTGGAGGTGTGGTGGCTGGGTTATTTTGGATTGTGAGGGGAGCTCCATTTCACAGGTTTCAAACTCTTGGGGCTGACACGAACTTGGATAAATTCATTTGTGCTTCTATACATGTTAGACTAGATGCTTTGTTTATTTATGTCTCAATTTTGTTGATAACTCTCTCTTTTATGCTGGGTTTTTTTCATAATTAATTATGGTTTACATTTCCCCATTTGTCCTTTTTCCTGTTGGTAATATTTTCATATTTTCCTTGTTACCAAGGTTGAATCAATGTTGGACAAGGAAAATATTACATTGGAAGAGCTTCTATTTGAAGAAGAGATTATCCGGGAATGCAAATCATTAAATAGTTGCCTCATAAATTTGAATGCACCTTTATTTTTCAGCTGCATATTTCTATTTTATTAGTCTTGTCATTTATGTTATGGGTGCCTTTTTAATGGGTAATGGTTCCTTGGCAATCACACCCTCACCATGATCTGCTGGTTTCACTTTTAGTTTTGAAGTTCTGTGAAGACAATGTGAAATTGTATTGGTGTTTAGTTTGAGAGATAGAGCTCAGGTTGAACAGTTGCTGAACTACATCGTTCATGAGTCTCCAAATGATGTGGATAGCAAACGAATGTCCAGATGCCATATCATTTTAGCTTTCAAACCGTATTTATTTTTCCCCAAAACTGGTCTTATGAACATGAGGTATTAACTCAATTTGCTTGGTTGTTGATTAGTTACTGCAACAGGTCAAGAAATCATAATCTAAGTCAAGGAAGAAGTATGCACACTGGATTTAACACAAAAAAAGTTGGAACTGCTACATATTCTTTGATTTCCAATAGTATTCTTGAAACTCTCACCCCGCGATCATCTGTTGATTCTGGGTATGAGGCTAATTAATCGTTTTGAAACTGTGTTTGATATCTGGGTCCTCGAGGCTTCAAGTCAAATATTAAGAAAATTATCTGAGTTTGATTTGGTTCTGTTGCAAAGCTTCGATGACTTTATTCTGTCTATCTTTCTACTCAAGTATTGTTTAAAAAATAGAAATTATTTGACTTCAATGAGCCAAATAAATATTTTGGAACAGTTCAATTAGTCCTTTAGTTTCAAACGGTTAACTGCAGAAGTATGTAACTCTGTTGTCTATTGTCAAATTTCAATGTGGAAATCATGTTTATGGTGCTACATAACTAGTCTTTTTCCTAATGTACTACGTATGTAAGCGGTATAAGTAAACATACCTTCTTGATTGCTGATATTGGGATTTCATTACATTTTTTTTACCCGTTTTAGTGTTACAGACATGTATGTTGATTCTATACATCAACTTTAACATCTTGTGCTTTCTTTATTTGTTTTTCCCACATAATTTCAATTGTCAGAGAAGTTATGGTTGAACAAGACATGCTTCACCAATAGCCTTGGCAGAAGAAGAGGTTTGGAACTAGACTTCCAACCTTGACTGTAATGTAATCTTGGTTTACCATAATTAGTTACTTTTTATGGGTTTTCATATTATTATTAGATTGTAAAGTGAATTTGACAATAAAAAAGGAAAAGAAAATAAAACAGTATGAGAAAGAAACAAATGTCTAAAAAAAATTTAATATTTGGTCCTAGTTCTCATAAAGTTTTCAATTGATTTATTGTCGCTGGTCAACATGATAAAATGCTGATTAAGGTGGTACAACGATTCAATGGAAAGAACTGGAACAAATAAATGAGTTTGCATATTGCTTTTTCGTTGCTTCCCTTTGTGTTTAGCGGACTTTTTTGATGCATAAAACTTTTATTAATGATATCCTGATCTACATTGATGGTTTTGCATTTCATTTTGATTGAGGTCTGAGTTTGATGGTTGTTATGAGAACTGTTTAGATGAAACTTGAAAGACTATCTCTGGTTAACAATTCTATTGGCGTGAAATGGATATTTTTAATCTTTAGTCATTGAAAGTTAATTGAGGAAGTTTTCAAATTCCGGCCCCTCAACTCCTGATTATTGATTAATTATTTCTCTTTTTAGCTATTGAGTACATATCTGGAAGGGCCGCTAGAAAAAAGTTCTTAATCTAGAAATTTTGTAAAGTCCTTTGGATGAAGGGGGTTCTTTATTCATTTTCACATAATTTTTCACTTCTTAGTAATGATACTGAAGACTCTTTCCATCAAGTTATTATGACTTTATCATGTCCTGATCTTTAATATGTAATCACTCTCCCCAGTGTGAACTTCAGGAGGATGATCATAAAATTAAGTTGGTTGGGTAGTATGGATGTAGGACATGGTTGTTATTGCAAACGATCTTAAAGTGGCACAATCATTTAGATCCATCAATTAAAAATGATGCATGGACTGATGATGAATTATCAATCCTGGCTTTTCATCATCAATTGTATGGGAATAAATGGGCAAAAATCGCAAGGTTCTTAGCTGGAAGGTATCTAATTAACTTTTTTCATTTAAAATTTCTTTGATTATTATTGATTGTTTCGTTTCCACCATAAGCAACATCTATTAAGAAGAGGGATGCAAGTTTGCGCTTTTCATGTATAAAAGTACATGCATGTATATTTATTTATGATCCTCTAGCTTTCGATATTGTGTTCGGATGTACAATATTGATTCAAATTGGTATTATGTGATGAATAGTGCTTGATGGATTTGTTCAGTATAAGAATTCTTGTGCTTTGGTTTGTTCTTGAGGCTATGCCAAGATGATGGTACATTCTTCGCTCAGAACATGTAGCAAAAATGTTGGCAAGATGTCTAGGAACAAATTTTCCTATTAAAAGATAACAAGGAAAGATGACGATTTTTCACTTTGGCCTTGAAAGGTGGACTTTTTTAAAAGCCTCCTCTAAAGAAACATGTTAATTAATTTTTAATCATGTGACTTTACCTTACTGGAAGTCCAAAGGGATGAAGTTTAGCTACCTCTATTTCTTTAGTAAATTTCAGATTTATTAGGCAGTAGTGCAATGAAATCTTTGAGCTTCGTTTTGTTCATTGAGCAAATGAAAACTTTGAGAGTTTTCTCAATTTTTGGTTTCTTTTAGTAATCATGGACGCCTCAAAGAATCGTGATTGCGTGTTATTGCTCTTCATTGCTTTCTCATTTGTTTGCTTGAGGATTGGTTAAATTAGCATTCCGTACACCTATTCATATTTCTCTCCCGTTCAATGCAAAAATTATGTCCTTCTGTTATATTTACATGAAATCATCTGGTAAAAATTTTAATTTTTTATGTTCTGTGCCCATTAATCATTCTCATTATCAAAAGGCAAATTGAGACACGGAAAAACTGTTGAATGGACATTCAAGGATTTGCTTAAAGGGCTTGAGAAATTGTTCTGATATATGTGACACACTCATCAAGAATAACATGTATAGTATGGGGTTTGACTACAGCTTTTGGGATTTGGTTTATTACGCAATGGTTGAAACCAGACTTGATTGAGAGCGGCGCTTTTAAGGGGCATTCAACATGGGTTTTAAGGCAAGCGATGCTAGACACAATGTTGCTGCTGCAGTGACAACTCATTTTCTCCCTTATATCAAATTGCTCTATTTCCAACAATGCTCAAATAATTTATGGACGTAGCTCTGATTTTTCACTGTTTCTAGTGATTTTTCAGTTTCTGATGATAATGAATTAGACTACTCCACCATACCTAAATTTTATGACGCCAAACATGATAACAAGGGTGAAGTATGGGCTGAAAAAGGCCACATATATGATGCTGTGCTCATCTATCCAGCTGGCTTTCAACCCTTGCTTAGGTTGCCAAAATGTTAGAATTTGGGTATGACCGAATTTTTTGATGAAGATAATTGAAAGTTCTAATTAAAGTACACATTAAGTCTTTATTTGAGCCTCTTTTTTTTTAAAATTCATTTTTTCAAAACTCATTTTCAACCATACATGCTCTAATAAAATAATATTACACGCAATTTTAAATTTTATCTTAAATTTTTTAATCATACATTCTCTCTCTAAATGGGTCTCAAACAAGGGCTAAGAAGAATTCTATTTGGAATACTTTTGGAATCTTATTCAAAGTCTATTGGTAAATTTTAATTGAAGTTTATTTGGAAACCTTATTGGGAGTTGAAATTTATGTTGAATTTCAAAAAAAAAAAAATTAAGATAAATTTTTTTTGGGCATTCTATTTCATCTACAACTCTACCTCTAGGGTTTTGGATTGTTCCATATATATATTTGGATCTTTTCTACAATTTACCTAGAATTACTTTCTCTCAATTAGTTGTCAATTAATAAAATTACTCGGTTACCAATCTAACTTCTTGCTTTAATCTTATTCTTGCTTGTGCTACCAATACTTTATATTGTGTCATACTTGTCACTCTGTTCCCAATAAGTGGTATCAGAGCTATTGGTTGTGATTTTATTTGAGGTTTTCTGTTATCGATAGCAGTTATGAAGTATGAAATTTCGCTTTTGGATCATAATACAAGATTTTCATTGTGGTAAGTGAAGATGCTAGCTGTATTGGTGCAGATGGACTTAGATGATGTGTTGTTGGGATTGGACAACAGAGGAGAAATGGAAGGATCGAAAGGTACTTTCGATATTCATCTTTATTTATCTAACATTCTTTAGGACGTTTTGAAGGAGAAGACAACTGCTACATTGTAATTGAAGTTGGAGAAATTATGGATGGCTCAAACTCAGATGAGCAAATTGCATTTAAAGTAGAGGTTGTATTCTCATCGTATGACAAAATACGGATCTTTAAAAGATCATTTGACTATACTCAAGAAGATTGTCACTAATTTAGAGACATTAGAAATAAAGTATGATGAATAAGATTTGACCTTAATCTTGTTGTGTTTGCTGCTCGATTCGTTTATTTTGTTTAGGGACACGTTTTGTATAGTTGTGATACTCTCATCTTTGAAGACGTCTATGATACCCAGCTCTAAAAGGAGAATATCGAACTCTAGGTTGAATTTGAGTCCAGAGTTGAAGGTCTTGTGGCTTATGGTGATCAACGAATGGGTAAGTCAAGGTCGAGTTTCAATAATTAGGTTTGTTTTTATTGCAAGAATAAATGATACATTAAGAGAGATTACAAAAAATTGCATAATAAAAGTACTTCGACTATAAATCACAAGAAGTAGTCAAACACTTCGGACGAGATCAACATAGTTAAGGACTATTTTAGTGATGGATATGTTTTGACGATTTCTGATGTAGAATCCAAACCCGACGATGAGTGGATTTTGGACTTACCTTGTACGTTCTATATGTGTCTAATCGGGATTTGTTTGAAACGTGACACAAGGTGTCATTGTCATGGGTAACAACAAATTTTGTCGAGTAGCTGGTATTAGTAGAGTTAGATTGAAGCTGATAGATAGAACATGTAGCACTCGATCACGTTCGACATATTTCAGCTTTGAAGAAGAATCTCATTTCATTGAATACTTTTGATTCGAAGGAGTGCATGTTCTCTGGAGCAGTGGAGTCTTGAAAGTCTAGAAGGGTGTCTGTGTTGTATTGGAGGACGGAAGATGTCCCGATTATACATTTTACAAGGTTGGGTAAAATCGGTGAAGAAAAGTTAGTACGGTTTAGTACCGTCGTGAATATTCAATTGTCGTGAATATTCAATTTTGTACAATACCTTTGGAATTTGATTCTAGGTCTACATTAAAAAATACTACTCAGTTGAGTTGGAGGATATGGGTAATTTCGCTTTGCTACCATTGTTCGCGCTTCATCGTATTCAATTGTTAGGGATAGACCCATTGAGGATAGGTACAGGGATGCTAATTTGGCTGCGAAAGCTTTTGAGGTTTTTGCGATGAAAGTATTGAGAGTTGATTCTACTACAGGGTGTGTTTCGATCTTGTTTGGTAAATCTTGAATTCCTTGTAAAAATTTTGGAAACCTGGTGTTTGGGTTCATGTATCATTTGTGGATACTATGGAAGAGGAAGATTAATTTTCGTGAGATGGAGAAGTTTGGTTCTGTTGAAGAATTTAGTCTATCTTTTCAGGTGTAGAAAATTTGGAGCTGTGTTCGTTACATCAAAATTGGTGTCAAAGTAGAGATTGTTAGAATTTGAGTTTGACCCAAATTCTTTGATGAAAATAATTGAATGTTCTAATAAATAGTACATTAAGAAGAATTCTATTTGAAATACTTGCGGAATTTTATTCGAAGTCTATTAGCAAATTCTAATTGAAGTTCTAATAGGAGCTGGAATTTATGTTGGTTGGATTTAAAGATATCAAGACAATGAAATTTTGGACATTCTATTTTATCTACAACTTTATTTTTAGAGTTCGAATTGTTCCCTATATATAATTTACTCTTCGCTACAATTTAGTTAGAATTGTTAAAATTGTATTTTTTTTCTCCATTAGTTGTCAATTAATATAATTCCTCGATTTCCTGTCAATCTATCTTCTTGCTTTAATTTTTTTCTTGCTTGTGCGGTCAATATTTCATATTGTGCCATGCCATACTTGCCTCTTCGTTACTAACACAGACGTGTGCCGATGGCTTTCATATCCATATTTGTCCATATATCAAATTTTGTTGTCAAGATGCTGCATGAATTCGTCTTTGCCTTTTAATTACTACAACAACTTAGCTTCCTTACTTTTTCTTTTCATTTCATGATTTAAGTCTTAGTTGTTATCCATTATATAAGTAGAACATTGAAGTTGGATGATCTTCTTTTTGAAGCATTTTCCTGCTATCTTAATATAGAGAAGAACATGTGAATCTCCGCTATCACAACCACCTTTCATTCCTCCTGCCTCACTCTCCAACGGCTATGGACCAACAAAAGGATCTTTGCCAATGTCTCCATATGAGCCGGAAAAAATTCTCCCATTCCACCAATGTATCTAATGCATGAAGAAAGTTGGTGTTCGAGGACGAAGATGTTGAGCAATTGAATAAACGAAAGATGGCAGCATCCAGAAATCCAAATGTTGGAAAAAAATTGTAGATCTTCCTTGCAGCACCATTGATACAACAAGAAAGTAACTGTACTAGACCTTGAGAAGTTGAAGTGAAATGAACATTCTTTGCTTTTGTTTTATGTTTTTAAATGTATATGGTCAAATCATCAATAATTCAATCATCAAAGAGAATAGATGAATAAGCATTTGGAAAAGAAAACAATTTGTTTTTAAATTCCTTTTTGCTAAACAATTTCTGTATATGATACATTATTTGACTACCGAAAAGTGTGATCAAATTCATCTCACTTTTGACAACTCGATTTTGTCATCATCTGGGTTGAGTTTGTTAACTTTATATAAATATAGTTTTGAAATTGATTGAATCTAAATTCTCACATCTTGTGTCTAATACAATAGTTATGAAGTACTAATCCATATATATAGTTCAATTATAAGATATTTGTATCATTAATAATATTAACACACGTTATTCAGTGTACATAACTAAATGTTTACATATTCTAAAATGGATTGTCGATTTAACAAGATCACTTAAAATATAACATTAATCGTGCAAAACACGATGCACCACTCGTTTACATAAAACGTGTAAAGTTATCTGTCAAAAATCTAGTTCAAGAACCTTTTCATAAATAAGGGTGATAGAGAAAAAAAGAAAAGAAAAAAGATCACTAAATTAAAATAAATAAGATTGATTTGTATAGTTAATTTTACGGGATTAACACAAATCTTAAAATTTAATTTTAATTGAAATCTTTGCCGAACACTCAAGCAAATAATATGACAAAGCCCTAGACTCCTTCTTTTCCCCTTGATTGATATTCAATTAAAAAAAATGACTTCTATAAAAAAAAATTGAAACGATCTCATAAAAATAAAGAAAAATTCCCGTCGAACTGTCAATCAAATAGACATAAATCATACAACAAAGATTCATTTAATGTTAATATTACAAATTCAGATACAAATTCTATATTAACGATACAAGCCCATATAACTAGGGGTGTTAAGTTAGCTCACTAGCTTGAGTCGCTCGTGATTCGACTCGAAAAAGGTCCAAACCGGCCTAGTTCATGGCTCGAGCCGAGCCCCATTTTGGGATGTCGACTCAAGCTCCAGCCGACCCTTGTATTTTTAAAAAAATTTAATTAAAAAAATTAAAAATAAAAGGCCAACAACTGCTGCCCATAAACCTTCTATAGGCTGCAAATATTATTTTAAAAAATCGAGAATGCTCGATCCCGCCCAGTAAGGCTCAAGTCAAAAGCTCGGGTCGAGCGTAAATTTTTTGGTCAAGCAAAAATTCGGCTTGGTCCCAAAAATGCTCAAACAATTTTACTCGAATTGAACCCGAATCTCGATTTTCGACTCAATTTAACTCGTTGACATTCCTATATGTAAAATTAAATCATACTTGCTATACCCTTTTATAGAGCATATGTCTATTTTACCCTTCATAACTTTTTATTGCATTATTCAAGATAGACTGTTTTATGATGGATTTAAATTGACTCTTGGTAATAATAATAATAATAATAATTTAATAACTAACTCTGGCACGAATTAAAATTCAAGAATCCACGTGACAATGTGACATGTGCATCACCTCAAATAATTTATACAAACGAACCTTACCGTGTCTACATACCGAAACAACACGAGGTCATTAAACGGACATGGTACAAGAAACAAAGCATAATGTACAATCTAATTCAACATCCACATCCTCAAAGTCAAAACGATATCCAACGCCAGCGTCATCTCCATTTATCCACCCCTACCCCTGCCAACCCCACAAACCATTTCTTCAGCCGCAGATTTTTCTTGGGTTTTCATCTCAAATTTTCCTCGAGGCGGTGTGTATACACACAGAATACATATATAATCAGATGGCATCTAGAAATTAACTTTTCGACCCCTTGGATTTTGTTACCCTCTTTCCTCTTGATTTGTCCTTCTTGTTTTGGCCGGTTATCCATTCCCGAAAAGGAAAAACCCTACAATTTGAGCTTCAAAGTTATTGTTGTATTGTTATCTTGTCAAGGGGGTTACAATTGACAGTCTGGAAGTTATAAGTTAAGAATTGAAATCACACGTTTTCATCAATTTTGTGGCCATTTGTTATGGGGTGAAGAGTTGGGAAAATTTGGTTTCATATTGTTTGATAAAGTTGGATGGAGTGGGATAGTGACTCGGAGTCTGATCTGAGTGTTGCGGAAGAGGAGGAGGAGGAGGTGGGTGAAGGATTGGGTTTTTGGTTGAGGAAGAGCGGTCCAGGTGAACTGCCGTTTCCCGTGGACACACTTCTGCAGCCGGCTCCTTGCGGGTTTACTGTCACGGATGCTTTGGAGCCTGACCATCCCATTATTTATGTAAATTCCGTGTTTGAGATTGTTACTGGATACCGCGCAGAGGAAGTTCTTGGTCGCAACTGGTCAGTTTTTTGTTGGACTTTTCTTCGCCTTTATCATTTTTAACGGTTTAATAGGTTTGTGAATTTCTGATATAGTTTTAACTGAATTTTGTGTCTTTAAGAAAGGGGGAAGGGTTCTGCTAACGTACTATGATATAAATAAAGGATTGAATATAATGAAAATATAAAAAACTTCTAGATTTATTGTGTAAGTTTTGAGCTTGTGCCTTTTGACAGTCTGGTGGACAAGGTGCTATTAGAATTGAAGTTTTCCTTCTTTTTCTGAGATTGGGATAGGGAAGAATTGTTTATATATGAAAATTGAAGGTTGGGTGGAGATGTAACCACTTAACCTTGAGAGAACATTAAAAATTGCTACAAATTGAATTCTAATCAGTTCTATTCTTAGTTGGAGATTAAAAGTATGGAGAATCAAATTAAGTTGGGCCTGGAAGATAGTTTCAGAGATCAGTTCTTTGTCTTGTATACAAAGATTACAGCTCTTCTTGAAGATGTTTTATTAGGTAATGTAGCAACTAAAGCTCAAATTTTTCTGTGGAAAAAATATTTTTTGATAGTACAAGCCCTTTTGAGTTGCAGATGTAGCAATGAAGCTTAAGAGAACACTAAGAATTAGCTAGTAATGGAATAAGTTCTGTTCTCTGACCAGAAAATAAGGCGATAAAAAATACAATTTTTTTGTAGTTAGCATATAAATAGCTAATATAAACAATGTCAAAAGAGTGACATTTGCATTTGAAATTAGGCTTACGCAATTTTCCTAAAGATAATGTAACTCAATTATGTGTTAATTTTGAGAGTTACGAAAAGTGCTTAAATTATACTACAGTGTGATCAACCCGCATATTCAGGTAAATTTTGTTTCTGAAGTAGGCTTCATACATCTGAAGATAATCTCCATTTGAACTACTTCATAAGTTGGATTTTATTGAGTAATGGTACCTCCTACACATCATTTGAGCTTTTGGGAATGAAGCTGAAAAACTGAAATGCTTGTTCTATCATTGAAAGTAAAGCCACTTACTTTCGAGATCATAACTCCTCATGATTCAGCATCAGTCTTCTTGTTCTCCTTATTGCCTCCCTCCTTTGACAGTCTGAAGGTGATTTTCTAAGTTCGAAGTATGCTTCGATTTGGACTACTTAAGTGTCTTGGGTGATGTCTGAAGTCTTTCTCTATCAAACTAAACTTTAAATTTGGACTCTTTTGGATGTATGGCTTGACTTCGGACATCTCAACCCTTCACTCGTCAACAATATCTAGGGTTGACAACGGTTTGGTTATGGGTCGGTTCGGCCAAAATCATAACCGCACCACCAATTTTTTGACTATACCATAACCACAGCATAACCATGTAAATCGGTTCGGTTCGTATCTCGATTCGGCACGGTTCGGTTCGGTTAATAACTACGAAAATAAATTATTTTTTATAGGTTCATCCGTCAAATTGATATAAAACAATTTATGAAAAAAATCAATGAAAACAAAAACGCAATATTCCAAAAGGAAATGCAAATATTATCAAACAATATTCCAAACGAAAATGCAAACATTATCCCAATTTTCAATTGTAAAATACAAATTTAACAAACAATATTATAAATATAATAATACTAAACTTTTCCTTCATTTTTAATTGTTGTGCATCGAAGTTACTTGATTTATTCTTCCCCACAAGTCTTACTAGCATAGATCAACACTCAAAGTTGATTTTTATATAGTAAATAAAAAATGTAAGTAGAGAATACAACGATACTTCCTATTCCAGAATGATCTTAATTAAGATTTAAATAAAAAAAATGTACCTCTTCGTCAACTTCCTTCTCGCTAAATGTTGCACAAACTTTAGAGTATGATGAAGAAGTAAAATTTTTTACACACAATAGAAAAAAATTAACAATAAAAAGATCCGTGCATGAGTTTGTGGTTTGTGAAGAGTAGGGGTTGCATTTATATATTGTCATACTAATGCTATTATTATGGAGTAATGGTAAGTGGGTTGGCCGGCTGAGTCATGTAGACTGGACTAAGCCTCAACTAATGTCCATCTTTCTCCACTTCAGAATATGGTTAACCACGTAGGAAATGTTTTAACGCAATTCTCACTTAATGACCAAACTGAAACTTTATTATAACTTGGGGGAATTCATGGAACAAAAAAGGATGAGTGATGAATATGAAATTGTTTCGTAACTTGATTGACATCCAGTGATTTTTGCCCCTTTGTATTGTGTTGTAAGCTTTCTGAGTTAGAGTAGGTTTTGAAGCTTGAGGATTAGACTCTAAATAGGCCTCATTGTTTCAACAAACAAAAAAATTGAAGAAATTTATTTTTCGGTCTAGAAAATTTTGTTTATTTGAAATTTAATTCTAAAACACTAAGGGTGCGTTTGGTTTCTTGTTTTCAAACCGTTTTTAGTTTTTAGTTTTCGAAAATGCCCAAAACGTACTTGATCTGTAGTCTTCGAAAATCCATTTCAGAAAAGAAGGAAAAATTTATAACTGAAAATTCAGAACGATTTTTTTCTATTTTAAGTGTTTTCGATTAAAAAACTCAAAACGCTGAAAACACTCAAAACACGCCAATTTTTTTCCGAAAGGATTCTCAACGGTATTTTTAAAATAAAATGTTGTAATCTGATACAATTTAATGAAACATAATAATTTTGAAACGCACAAAACGTTTTTCAATTTCCATTATTGTTATTTTTTTTGCTTTTTGGTGATCAAAATTTGGAAGAATTATTATTTCCTTTTTCCTGTCTAAGTGACAGCAAAATATATCTAAAAGGATAAGAACGGACTAGCTATTTTCTTTACAACGATTCCTATTTTTAGTCTATAAATTTATTATTTATTATTTTATTTTTGTAGCAAGAAAAAATATAAAATTCACCAAGTTTAAAATATATATTATCTAGTAATATATTATCATAAAATTATTATAATTTACTAAATAATCAAATTAATTGAATAAATGTCATGAAACAATTTCTAAAAATTTTAAGCCAAACGAATTTTCTATTTTTCTTTTTTGAGAAACCATTTTTCAAAAATGACAAACCAAATACATTTTCTGAAATTCGAAAATAGTCTATTAAAGCAGAAAACTAAAAATGAATTAAAAACTGAAAACGGCAAATGAAAACGCAAACCAAACACATCCTAAATTTCTAGTGCTGCTAGTCCAATATGGAGTCATGCATCCAATGGTAACTTGTGGAATTACGTCTTCAACAGTAGAAAGTGAGTATCCGTTTCCGGTAGAAAGTCTATTGAAACTTTGTTCAAAAGGATTGCGTAGGCAGCAACGTTGGTAGTACAACCACCAAAGAAGTTGGAGGTTTAAAAGAAGGTAGAAAACGGGAAGGAAGTGGTACTCTTGGAATTGCTAGAGCCGTTGGCAGCAGCTTTACACTATCTACCCTTAGATGTTTACTTGTTACACTTAAAGCATCTCCAAAAAACTATTTAAACATATATGCACTTTATTTTAAAGAGTTGACCGTTAAAATCACACTCCAAGATACTCTTTAAATTAACATTTTAATTTAGAGAGTTTGGAGAGTCAAGCTCACTTTCTATAATTAAATATATTCAAAATGTTTCAATTTTTAATGTAGGAAACCAATAAAATATAATTTAAAGAAAAATTAGTTAAAATAAAAGATAGAGAAAAATAATAAATATTTTTTGGGAGTAGTAAAATTAAGTTTTAAATATAAATAATTTATTAGAGTACTTCAAAATTTTAACTTTCTAAATTTGTAGATGCTCTCAAAGTGATAGAATATGCTCTTTAAAAATAGAGTTTCTTAGTTCTCCAAATGATAGAATATACTCTTTAAAAATAAAAAATCTCTTGAAAATACTCTTATGATTTATGTTCTAATGTAGTTAAGTTGGCTGAGGTCGAACGAAGAGTCGGACTTTGTAGAACTGACAAAATAGTCAGAAGAATTTTGGACAAAAAGGAGGCAACAAAGTATTATTTTATCAAGATGAAATTTGGTTTGATGTCCACCCATATCTTACTTGGACTATATATATATATATATATATATATGGACTATCATACCAAACCAAATACCTACACATTATACAAAGATAACAAAAATATGAAACCACATCCTTTGAAAGAAAATCTACAAGATAAAACTTTATATCATGGACATTAGTATTCTCTAACCCTATGTGAAGATAACTGTGTAGGAGTTTTCCATGTGCTGTTTGGTAAAGTTGCTGGAAATTAAGATATTCATTAATTGTTGGAGATTAGTTACCGATTATGAGCGATAGTTTAATTTTTTTTCCAAATTTTTCTTCAACTAGATTCTTTTTAATACTAGAATTGAATATTAGTTGGTTAGCCATTAGATTTTATTTGTACACTTAATTTAGTTTTTGTGTAGGTTTCCTCCGAGAGTTAGGATTAGTTTTTTCTAGTGATTTAAGCTTCCTGGTTAGAGTAGGTTTTGGGGTGTCTTATTGGAGAGCTATTAGTGTTCTGATTATTACATCAAAAATAACAAAAGCACATTTTTCGTTTTGAAAAATTCTGGTTTGCTGGGATTTATGTCTTCAGTTCTTAATCTCTAGTGTTCACTTCAATCTCCAACAATATCCTTTTGTGCATGCAATCATTTTGTCACTACTAGTACTACACACACCGTTTTTGCAAATTGTTTTCATTTTGTCGTAATAAAAATTACTGCTGCTAATCCTTAAACCAGTATGTTGCATATATTTTATTTCACGACATTTTGGCTTCAGCACAACTACTGGATTCCTATATAACGTGTTGAAGTCTTTTTATTTTCAAATATTTAGATTTATCAAATGCTTGAAACGAATAATTTGATTTCTTGGTGGCTGTTTCAAGTACGAGGCTTCTCTTAAAATTTGAGCATCCGATAGTCATGCTACATAAGGAAGTGTTAAGTTTTTTTGGTGGTGCTTTAAGTTCATGGTGAGTGGTAATATGCAAGCTCACTCTGTCAGTTTGACGGGTTTGATGTAACATTACTTTTAACTTGAATGGTATCATGTTTGGTAATCCTATAGGCTCATACTTTGCCTTGTTGAAGTGGCAACCTTTATGATAGCCATTTTTTGTTATGTTCAATTCTTATCTAGGGCTAGTGTAGTAATTCCTATTATTGGAATTGAGGTGGTGCACCTGGCCTTTCTGTCATTGATGAATCATCGATGACAAATCACAGGGTTAGATGCCAAAGTTTACTTTTTAATTATATCGGATATTTATACCCAATTGTAGAAAGTCCAGTGGAGTTTTTATTCATTTATCTGTTGTTACTTTCAATGCAGTCATAGCTGCTAAGAATTGTTTGTATTTTATGTTTCTGAATGCTGATAGGCATGGTATATCATTGATATCTGATTATGTTTAAATCTTTTTGCAGTCGTTTCCTGCAATGCAGAGGTCCATTTGCTAAGCGAAGGCATCCACTGGTGGACCCCACTGTAGTAGCTGAAATAAGAAGATGCCTTGAGGAAGGGATTGAGTTTCAAGGCGAATTGTTAAATTTTAGAAAAGATGGATCCCCATTGATGAATAGATTGCGTATGACCCCAATATATGGGGATGATGATACAATAACACATATCATTGGTGTACAGTTCTTTACAGAAGTGAACCTTGATCTGGGTCCACTTCCAGGAACTTCAGCTAAGGAATTTGCAAAAGCTTCTGAGAAATTAAGATTTAATTTTCCTCCTCGTGGAGAAGCATTAGATGGGAACCGTAACGCTAGTCGTGGGGTTTGTGCATTACTGCAGTTAAGTGATGAAGTCATTGTTCTGAAGATTCTTTCATGTTTGACTCCAAGAGATATAGCATCTGTTAGTTCTGTCAGTCGGCAGTTTTATGAGCTTACAAAGAATGAAGATCTGTGGCGAATGGTCTGCCAGAATGCATGGGGTAGTGAAACGACTCGAGTCCTAGAGACGGTGCCTGGTGCTAAACGATTAGGATGGGGTAGATTGGCAAGAGAACTTACCACTCTTGAAGCAGCAGCATGGAGCAAACTAACTGTTGGAGGTACTGTCGAACCTTCTCGCTGCAACTTCAGTGCATGTGCTGTCGGGAATCGTGTGGTTCTGTTTGGTGGGGAGGGTGTCAACATGCAACCTATGAATGATACCTTTGTGCTGGATCTGAATTCCAGCAATCCAGAGTGGCAACATGTCATAGTGGGCTCTCCACCTCCTGGGCGTTGGGGTCATACACTTTCTTGTGTCAATGGATCTCATCTTGTTTTGTTTGGAGGCTGTGGGAGGCAAGGCTTACTCAATGATGTTTTTGTGTTGGATTTGGATGCCAAACACCCTACTTGGCGGGAAATCTCCAGTTTGGCCCCTCCACTTCCTAGATCCTGGCATAGCTCCTGCACCCTTGATGGCACAAAGCTGATAGTCTCTGGCGGTTGTGCAGATTCTGGGGTGCTTCTGAGCGACACTTTCCTGCTTGATCTTTCTATGGAGAAACCGATGTGGCGAGAGATACCGGTAGCGTGGACTCCACCATCTCGTTTGGGCCACACGCTGTCTGTTTATGGTGGTAGAAAAATTTTGATGTTTGGTGGTCTTGCCAAAAGTGGTCCTCTGCGGTTTCGGTCCAGTGACGTTTTCACTATGGATCTGAGTGAGGATGAGCCATGTTGGAGATGTGTAACTGGAAGTGGGATGCCTGGTGCTGGAAATCCAGGAGGAATATCTCCACCCCCTCGACTTGATCATGTGGCTGTGAGCCTCCCTGGTGGTAGAATCCTCATTTTTGGTGGCTCCGTGGCTGGTCTTCACTCCGCATCTCAGCTTTATATACTCGATCCAACTGAAGAAAAGCCTACATGGAGGATACTAAATGTACCAGGACGTCCTCCGAGATTTGCTTGGGGACACAGCACATGCGTCGTTGGAGGCACAAGGGCTATAGTTCTTGGAGGTCAAACTGGGGAAGAGTGGATGCTTGGTGAACTTCATGAACTATCATTAGCAAAGATATCATCTAATCTAGAAGGGAATTGAAAGTTTGTGAACTTGGCATATAATCATATCCTTTCGGACGGGTTTCAAGAAAGTGACTGGTCCCGATTAAACAATTCGCGGAGATTGTCCCTACCATTCAGGACACGTACTGTTGTAATATGGGGAACGATCCAGCCAGCAGCTGTAACTAAACTTGTTTTCTTGTTAAAGCTCCTGGGAATACGTGAGCTCGTGGCGTGATCCCAGTTTAATTTTGTGAGTTTTGTATGATATTTATTCAATCATAAACGCTTTGAACTATTTGCTCCTCTCGAGGCTGCTTGTACTTGGTAGAAGTATAGGTCATCAAATATGTAGACTAGTTTCCATAATGTATGTTTGTGGGGGCGCTCCAGGTTCTGTAAGTCGAAATTTTAGAAAAACACGAAACAATTCGCAACATAACATGTTGAGATGTCGTCTCACCTTTTGTGCATATTTGATATGAACTTGGCCGCAGTGGCGAATCTAGGATTTTGAGTCAGTACAGGTGGTCGTTGATCGTCGACCGTCGACCGCAATAAAGTATTAAGAGCCCGTTTGATATCTTTTTTTTTTTAAACAAAAAATGCATTTTGAAATAATGATTTGATGGGGAACGTGAGGTCAAAAATAAGAAAAATGTTTTGAATTTGCGTGTAATATTATTTTATTGAAAAATGTATGGTTAAAAATAAAATAGATAAAAATGCATAAAAAAATGAAAATAAAACAAGGTCTAAAATTTAAATATAATAATTATTTTGTTCATATTGAATATGTATAATTATGTTATAAGAATAAATCGTATATTCACCAAATGATATTGTTGCCAAATATAGTATAATTTAAAGGAAGGGCATGATTTTGAATCTTTGTAATTTTATTAAACCCAATAAATGTAATATATATTATTTTGTTGATTTAAGTATCAAGAGCAATAGATGCCATATTTGTTCAAGGTTCGAATCCTATCCAATCCTTTCCTATTGCATTTGTTTTGGTAGTTGTTGTAAACTAAAAAAATTGCACAATGAATTGGCTAGGAAGAGAATCGAAACCGAGACCTTGCAAAATGAAAATATAAACTCTATCCACTTCAGCTAAAAGGAGAATTTAGAAGAAAAAAAAATTATCAAAAATATAACCTCAAATCTTAATCTATTGTCAGTCCAAAAAAATAGCTTCCGACAGATTCAGCTAGGACGGTCATCCTAACTCGTCACTAGCTAGATTCGCCACTGCTTGGCCGTACGTCTACATTTGGTTGTCTACGTCTTTGTTGGCTTTCACTCTATATAGGGTACACACTTTGCCCCATGAATTGAATGTTAAGTCATACGTGGCAAAATTTATGATGAAAATTGAAATTAAAATATTGTTATGGTACTCTTTGCTTATTGAATACAGTCTAAATTTGCATGTGTTATAAGGAAAATTGCGCCAAATGTCAATGGTCCCCTCAACTGATTGATCCTTTATGAAATGTTTAAATAATTCAATATAAAAGGGTTCAAGACGTGAGGTACAATACCATCGTTTAAAAAGTTTCTTTCGGGGATTCTTTTAATAATCTTTATTAATTATTGACTATGCCAATATTGATGCACCCGAGGCATTTATTCCCGAGGACTCAATACATACCCCCACCTCATTTCTCTTCTTCAGTC